TAATAACTTTTATGAGATGATTTTATTAAAATATTTCAAATTCATTTTTATATTTTTTTCAATATTTCTATTATGATAAAAATCCCTTTTTTATTAGTCATTTTTTTAATTTACGATCTATTCATACTTTTTATCCTTTTCACGCCTGACTACACAATAGATAAAGATTTTGGCCGTACTATCGCTTTTCTTTTCTTCTTTTTTTCCTCTTCTTTTGATTTTCTTTCATTTGTATGGTGTCAATATCGTTACATTATACATTATCATTGATAGCAACAAATGTAAATTATTACGGTCTTCTCGTTCGCTCTCCCCTTTTATCGAATGCGTATATATATGCGTTTTCTTAGAAAATCATAAGAAAAAAAATTGCTTTTTTTTTACAGGAAATCGTAAAGTCCTTTTTCATATACAATTCTACATTTCTTTTTATTTGCACAAAAAAAAAAAAAATAAAAAAAAGAAATACAGAAAAAGCCAAGTGATAAAAAAGTAGAAGAAAAAAGTAAAATTCACCCTTTTGTTTGGTGTTGATACAATGTTTCCGAAATAAGGAGAAGCAGAAGGAAAAAAAACTGCAACTTAACAGTTACAAAGTAAATCCTTTTTACGCACTTTTTTTTCTTTCTTTTTTATTTTTTTTTGTTTTTTTCCTTTATTTATTTATTCTTTTTGCTCTTTTTATGCGGGTAGCAGATAGAAAATCTTCCTCTTCGTTTGGCTTCTTAATTTATGTACGTATTCCCAGTAAAGATAATTCCTTTTTGCACTTTATTCATACTTTAAAGTAAAAAAGATTTTCTTCTCATTCTCTCCTTTCCGTGACATATTTCTTTCTTCTATGTATGCAAAGTTCTTTAAAAAAGTAATGAAGTATCTTTTCCCATTTGAAATTTTAAGATGCTGTGGTCACAATTATCGAAAACTTTTATTAAAACTGAACTGGAAAACCCGGAAAATATAATTTACAAGTAAAAGCACTATAGTGGGACACGGTCCACCACTTAATACTCTACACCACTTTGCTTAATGCATGTATTCAAAATAAGGTATTATATGGCAAGTGATAGAGAAAGTGATTCTATCCATGCCGTTGGGCCTTGTGCCGAGACATGTCGATGCACCAAATTTAATCAATGTACCTCAAACCTATAGTTTGAACAGAAGAAAATAGAACGGACAGAGGGACAGACAAGCTTAAATGGATTGAGAAAGATGTAATTCAGAGTCGATTGATATATTAAAAGATGTGCCGGGCACACATCCAATTTGTCATCGTTGAAGAGAACACACACACACTTTACATATAAAAATTTAGCTCTTTCTGTCAACTTTTTCCAGTCATGTGTGTTCCAACATCAGGTACTACACGAACGGACAGACTATGTATGTACATGTCATAAGCGTACATACATATATTCGACGGCTGCAAGAACACTTTTAAAAGAGTAAGCAAAAAACTCATGCACCTTCATCTTGGCCTTTTGTTATCGTTAACAAAATCTATCTCTTCTAAGAAGTTTGAACAAAGTGATCAAAATCCTCCGTTCAAAGTTTGGAAATATTGTCTCATTAAAACCATTTTAACGCCTATCTTTTCAGTAAAAGATAAAGTAAAAGTAGAGTAAAGAACTGCATTTGGATTGAGACGGTTTACGAGATAGCATTAGTGTGCTTAGTGTGAGTAGTCAGTTGCACTAGACAAGGTTAAAAATTCATATATTTAGACCAAACTTATTGCGCCATTAAAGGTCAACGCAATTTTTGGATATCGTTAGTGCGCTCAACGTCATTGGTAGTAGGCAAAGTGGAAAATTCATGTATTTAGTCCAAATATACTACGCCATTAAAGGTCAGCCTAGTTTTTGGCACATGTTTGTTTCCAAAAATTTGATTCCGATAAAGACGTGAATGTTTCGCAACTTAATGATGAAATCTATGGTGCTTATGGACAAAGAAAAAAATGCTTCAGTCACGTTTGCTTTGAAAATTTCCACGCATACGTTACGTGAACGAATCGTTACTGTTTTCTTTTTAAAATGAAAAGGCGCCTATTTTATTGCAAGACAAGAATTATATATTTTGGAAAATATTTTATTCCGGCAACTTGAGGGCTCCTCTCCAGACAAACACTTGGATGATCTTTACCCTTCATCAAGTTTAAATCTTTAAGATCATCTTTCTTATTTGACGTTCGGAGCAAACTTTCACAGAAAGCCTTGACTACCTGTTTTTCTCTAATTATATATATTCATCAGCAGCGGATGCGGGGTGTTAAGCACGATTTAAGTCATTTTTAGTAGCAACATACGATACTGTCACTTTTAGATTTTCTTTTAGTGTTTCAGCTTTGCGGTGGAATGAAATGCGACAGTCAATGTTCACAGTCGAGTAATTCTATTACTTAAAAAAACCGGTAACAATTTACTTATGAATATGATACAATAGTTTTTTGAAGGTCACGAGCATTCAAAAAAAAAGAGCAAACTTATATTTATTTATTTATTTATTCCACTTATACAAGAAACTCAACTAAAACAAAATGGCAGTCGAGTTCAATTGACTCTTAAGTAAATCTTAAAATTATTTAATAATAAAACTTAGTATAAGTACAATAAAACAAATAAGGAGGAAAAAAAAAAGCATGTACACAATTAGCATAGAGCCACGCCCACAACCGATACAGGACTAAATTGCAAGTGAACCCCTAAGCCATCGCAAACATGCATAAGCTTGGCAACCGATAATTGTTAACAACAAATTAATTTTCGACTCATAATGACAAAATCTAAGGTTAAATCAGTTTAAGTACGACATAGGTAAATCGCGCTTGTTGAGCAATATTGCTTTAATAGACTTTAAAGAGTCCGTTAATGAGAATAGATAATAGACATCATTTAGGTTCTTGCAAACAACTCTGAGCGGGTTAAACAGTTCAAAGTTATATTTGCATTGACTAAGCTTTATCAACATAAAGTACCTAGAGAAGCGGTTAGGGACATTAAAGCAAATCTCACGAAGTAATGCGGGCGAATCAATTGCACCATTTATTAATTTGATTAGGAAGGAGACCCCAAGAACAAATCTACGTTTCTCGAGTGACGGTAAGGATAAAAGAAGCAACCTATTTTCACAGGGTGGAAGAGGGGAAATCGGGTCCCAACCCAAATTCCTAAGTGCAAACAGCAAGAAGTGCTTTTGTATAGATTCAATTGAACCAACGTAGCATCTGTATGAAGGAGACCACACAACAGAGGCATACTCAAGAATAGGTCTAACCAAACACGTGTAAAGCCTTTTAGTAATATAAGGATCATCAAGCTCTTTGGACCACCTCTTTATAAAACCAAGAGCGGACCTAGCTTTGCTTAACGAGGACTCAATATGCAAATTGAAACGTAACCTATAATCGAATAGAACGCCTAAATCAATGAACGAATCGACGTCTTCCAACCTGTGCGAATCAATGAAGTATTGGGTACTAAACGACTTCCTTCTTAAGAAAGAAAGCTTCTTACATTTATTTAGATTTAGCTTCAGAAGATTGAGGGAGCACCATGCAACCAAATTGTTCAAATCACTTTGAAGACGATGTGATTGCGATTCTACGGAAAAAGAAGTAAACAGTTTCACATCATCAGCATACATTAAAATCTTACTGAATTTAATCACGGAGGGCAAATCATTGATGTAACATTGTACAGATAAGAGCTTAACCATTCAACTAAGAGGAGAGGAAAGCCAGAGGTCTGGATTTTAAATCTAAGAAGTCTATGATTAACCATATCAAACGCCTTGCTAAAGTCAGTGTAAATGACATCAGTGCGAGAACCACTAGAAAAAGCCTTGAAAACATGAGAAGTAAACTCCAACAGATTGGTCACCGTAGATCTTCCCTTTCGAAAACCATGCTGGAAAGGAGAAATATACAATTTCATGGAAAAGGCTATATGCTGAGCCACAATTCGCTCGAACAGTTTAGGTAAGACACTCAACTTGGCGATGCCTCTGTAGTTCTCTACAAGTTGCCTACTACCACTTTTGTGAATAGGAATAAGGAAAGAAGTCTTCCAACACAAAGGGAAAACACCTAAATTCAAAGACTTATTAAAAATCTTTGAGATAACATCACAAAGCTCGCCAGCACAAGATATAAGTACACATGAGGGGATGCCATCGGGTCCAGGCGAACAATTATATTTCAGAGAGTTCAATCCTTCAAAAACGTAATTTTCCGATATAACAACGTTAGGAATTGAAACCGAATTAGAAATCGAATACGGATAATTTTCCGATAAATCAAAATTGGCAGTTGAAAAGTTCTGTCGGAAGTATTCCGCAAATAGATTTGAGGATTCAAAATCATCCGAGGACTCGGAGCCATTAAAAGACACAAACGACGGGTTTATGGAGATTTTTCTTTTGGAATTAACGAACTTAAAAAAGTATTTAGGGTTAGCAAACAAGGAGGATTTAACAAACTGAAGGTATCTGCAGTAGTATTGGCGGTTGAGGGAATTAAATTTATGCCTTGCAACAGAGTAAGCGAAATAGTCGAAAGAAGAACCACTTTTCGAAAATTTTTGAACAACTTGTTTTTCCTATTCTTGTAGTATTTAATTGTCTTATTAAACCACGGGGGATCCTTACTTCGAGGACGGGACTGCTTGATCGGAACGGATGCAGAAATAGCTTGATTTAATACATTGTAGAACGACGACAGTAAGCTATCAATGCTTCCCTCGGGGTAAGTGAGAAGTAGAGAGTAATATGAGTAAAATAAAGAACAACTTTATTGAAGGATTTCAGGAGTGGATTAAATTATTCTGAAAATGACGATCAGAAAAACTAAGTGATTTGGTCTGATCTGCCCTTAAGAACTCACATTAGAATTTATTACTTGACATCGTGTATGATACGAGCTTTTAAAGTCTTTGCGCCAGGCAGTACGATAGATTCATTTCTACGTGGTTAAAAATCTATTGG